CGGGTTGCACTGGCACGGCCGGTGGCACGTGGGCGACCACCAGCCCGGCTCGCAGCGGCACACGCCCGTCGCGGGGTCGCAACGCCCGTGGGGGCCGCAGGCACACGCGAACTCGCAGCGGCCACCCCAGCGATTGGCTTGGCACTGGCACTCGCCCGTGGCCGGCTCGCACTGGCCATGCGGGTGGCAGGGGCAGCTCTCACGGCAGTCGGGGCCCCAGTACTGGCCTGGGCAGCCTGCGGGGGGTGGGGGTGGGGAGACGGAAGAGGTCAGCGGGATCAGGGCCTGCAGGGTCCTCGCCCCGCGCCCCCTTCCACAAGGAGGAGCCCACCCTCCGAGAGCCGGAAACAGACCCATGGAACTTCCTGCCCCAGACTCTGAACTGAGAAAACCCTTAGCAGTGGCCGGCCTCCCCCGCTTCCCATCCCAGAACACATAGAGATCCCGAGTGGGCAGGTGGTTGCCCAGAGTCACACAGAGGTGGGTGGGACTTCATTCGTGCCCTCCCTGCCCTCCCTGCTGAGATCCCCCGGGAATAGAGGTGAACTGGGCGTTCACTGGGATCTTAGGCCTGGATGCTGCCCACCAGGGTGGCAGGAGAAGCCACATTTCTCCCAGTGTTCCAACCCAGTGGTTCCTGGTGCCCTCTGGCGATCCTGCCCACCAATCCCTTTCCCATCCCTCTGCCAGCGAAGGCAGACAGCCCCGTCAGGGGCCTCCTTCCACCTTCCACCCATGTATAAGGAGTATATGGGGGCACTGGGAATGCACCTATTTTGCAATTAATGATCACAGGCACCTTTTCTGAGAAGTTGTAAAGGAAAAGGGCCCAAATGGGCAGGACTTTGTGGATCTAGGTAAAAACCAGACGACTCAGGGAATCTCCCTGGAGTGTGTCACTTCCTGTTTCTGGGCCTCAATTTCCTCAGTGAAACTGGAAGGATTCTGGCCCTACTGTTCCACTTTTCTACCTGCTTTGCTCCCTCTCCCAAACCCAGTTCTGCCCAGCAATGTTGTCCTCCAGTAAACTCACGGGAGCTGCACTGCGCCCCGAAGAATCCAGGTTTGCATCGACAGAGGCCTGGTTTCACGCAGACCTCATCTTCCCGGCAGGCGTCTGGCCCCTCACAAATGGCTGGAAAACACCCCACCCAAGTTGGAAGAACTGAGACACGCACAACCCGCGGACATCCCTTCCTCTCTCACTGGCTCCTGGGCCCTGTCCTGTCCAGAGCCACCCTCTTAGGGCTGGGGGTGTGTGTTGCAGGATGGACCCTCACTCTAGGGCTCAGGAGGGGAAACAGGCCCAGGGCGGGTAGGAAGGAAGGGTTGTCACTGGGCTATGTCCTCTCTTCTCCTCGGCTGGGGATCCGTCATCGCTACTCACGGATGGTGCATTCCCGATCTTTCTGCCTCCAGCCTGGACAGCACTGGAGCTCAGCAGAGGGGCTGTAGGGTAGAGCGGGGTCAGCTGGGGGCAACCTGGCCTGCAGGGTGCATCACTGTCTCTGACTGAGGTGTGGGGGGCTGCCTCAGCCCCACTGGGGAGGCCTAGCCAAGCGTCACAACCTCAGTGTCCCCAATCCCTCCTCTCTTTCCCGGGCCTTTCCACCATCCGCTCTAACTACCCACACCCGCCAGTCTGCCCCCCAAACCTCCCTCCCTTCAGTCCCATGATCTCTTCCCCATATCCTCCTTCCCTGAAATTCCTCAACGTCAGTTCAGCCATTCCCCCCATCAGATTCCCACAAGACCCACCTGCCGGCCATGCAGACGTGCTGCCCACTGGGGTCCAGCTCAGACTCCTGGGTCCCCCGAGTCCACAGCAGCAGCAGTGGGAGCAGCAGCCCCAGCCCCATGGCGGCCAGTGCAGTGGGCGGGCTTGGATTAATCTGGCCCCCACAGCTCCCCACCCCCTCCCTGCTTCCTCCCAAGGCTTTTCCTGAGGAAACCAAGCCGGAGGGGCGGAGGGGCGGGCTGCCACGAGGCACCTCCCTGAGAGGGCGGGCGGGTGCTGGGAAGACCGACACTAGAAATGAAAGGGAAGGGAGGGCCCATGGTGAGGGCAGAGTGGGGGTTGAAGGGGCTGGACTTAATGTGGAGGGGGCCGGAAGAATAAAGCTGCAGGTCCCTGGTATTGGGGACAGGCAAGGGGAGGTGAGGGTGGGTGCCATGGCTTTCCATCAGGCCACACTCCCCAAGCAAGGCCAGAGCTGGGAGAAGCCTCCCCACCCAGTGGCTGAGAAAGAAGACCCTGCCTCTGCTCCCGGCAGAGTGGGGAGGTAGAGGTAGACCACCACAGACAGACGTGAGCACTTTCTGGGTATATGGGCAGTTGCTTTATTACATTTGTACATCTGTACAAACCCTGGGAGGTCGTAGTCAGTTCTCTATCGAGACTCAGGGAGGATGCACTTCCATATCTGGCCTTGGAGGCTTGGTGCAGGGACGTAGGGAAGGGAGGTAACCCGAGCTCCCCGTCATGCCCTGGTGCAGGCCGGGATTGAGGAGGAGCCCTGTCCTCATTTGAGGTCACACATCCATCCACAGCAAGACCCCAAAGTCAGGTGTCTAGGGCAGCTGAGGCTCCCAGACAAAGATGTTTATCGAGAGCAGAGCAGGGCTGGTCAGGAGTGGGGGTCACAGGGCTGTCCACGGGCTCCATGTGAGGTGGCCGTGGGGCCTTCTCTTCTCCCCCTAGCTTGCTGTGAGCGGTACTGCTGGTCTCAGCTTTGGGGGCCTCTGCTTCACCCCGATACCACAGGCCAAAGCTAGGGAGAGAGCCCAGAGGTACTTTGAACCGGGAAGCCAGAGAGGTTAAGGGTATGGGCTGGGGGCAGGGTGTGGTGAGAAAAGGGGATACAGAAGACTGAGGGGGTGGCAGGAGGTAACGGGGAGGTGAAGGGCCAGGGCCAGAGGAGCAGAAGGGGAGGGCCTGCTTAGAGCTCAGGACAGCAGGGGAATGGCAGGGGGGAGGGAAGGGGGGCACAGAGAGGACCCAAGGGGACCCTCCTTCACCCCCTCCCCACCCCCTGCTCTTGCCCTTCTCCTTCCCCCAACATACAAACTCTGTATTCTGGACTCAGGGGGTGGGGGGTGGTCTTCTTTGTCACCGGAGAGCAGGAGCCATGAGCCATCCTCATCGTCACTGAGACAGAAGACAGAGGAGACATGACCTTCTGCGCATCTCCACGGAGCAGCAGAGGACAGAGTAACTGCAAAGTCCCCAGGAACCAAGAGAGAGAGACACTGAGGAGACACAGGACATCTTCAGGCTTTTATTTTATAGCCTGACAGACAGCAGGCCCCTGACAAAACTGCAGGTACAGTCTCTTCTAAGAACAAACAGAGGCAGGAAACCAAAAAATGAGTGTGGAGAAGGAGCGTTAGCAGTTATCTTCAGCAGGACGTATGCCAGACAAAGTGGGAGCAGTGCGATCCAGAGAAGGGTGACAAGGCTGGAGTGACAGGCTCAGTCTGAGACAACAGACTCAGTGACCACACTGTGTCAGCAGGCTCGGGGGATGACCACACAAGGCCAGCAGACCCAGGGGGTTGCTAGGCTGCATCATCAGGCTCAGCAGAACCCAGGAGGGAAGGCTGGCTCAGTGGCAATGGAGGGCATGGGAATGGACTTACCTGCTCTCTGCTTCCTCTGGTGTCCCTAACATCTTGGCCTTGATCTTCTTCCGCTGCTTCCTGACAGCCACTTTCATGGCTTCCAGCAGAAGCCCGGGGACCCGGTGGTCTGTGAGCAGCTCCCTACAGAAGAGGGGCAGAAAGAAAATGGTAGGAATGCCAACAGTAGGTCTCAACCCAAGTACCTGTGCATGTTGTTTCCCCCAGAAACACCTGAACCAGACCTTAGTTTAGGGGGCAACCCTCCTAGGAATACTTCCCCGCTGCTGCTGTGATCTCTTACACCACCCTCTCCCCTGTTCGGATAAAGTTCCAGGAGGGCAGGGGCTAAATCATGCCCTCCCAGTGCCCATCACAGGCCCTGGCACATGTCACTGTGGATATATCAATGAACCAAAAAAGAGGAAAGGTGACCTGAGGCCCAGGAACAGATGGGAGTGGAGCCCCCTCAGCTTCCCAGCGCCCTGACCTCTGGAAGTAGGCCAGTTCCTCCTTGAGCAGGAACACGTTGGCTTTGAGCTCATTCCGCTCCTGAAGGATCTGCTCAAGCTCCTCGCGACTGAAGCCGCACTGCCCTGCCTCCGAGGGGCGCCCTGGCTGCTGCGGGGTATCTGCCTGCGGAAGGACAGGCATGGTCAGAGGGTCGCCTCGGCTAGCGCTCCCCTACCCCAGGGCCATCACAGGGATGCTAGAGGAAGTGACTGGCAGGGAGACCTGAGGGACAAGGGTGCTACAATAGATGACAGAGCAGTGCTACGTCTGAGAGTGGGGGCTGAGATTGGCTGGGGGCGCAAACCTGTGTGCCGCCTCCTGACTTCCCAGCAGACCTGCTAGGCAGCACCGCAAACCCTGCCCTACTCCGGCACTCACCGGATCCTCAGGCTCGGGGGCGCCCTCTCGAGGCAGCTCGCGCTCCCTCTCGCGGTCCTGCGCCGCGCGCAGCTGGGTCTGCACAGCGGCCAGTTTGTGCCGCAACTCTGCGTTCACCAGCAGGAGGCGCTGCAGCTGCTCCTGCAACTAGGGTAGGAGCAAGGGGTGGGGGCTGGGGGCGGGGCGTCGAGGGCCCGCCGGAGCCCCGCCCTGCGCCCGCCGCCCCGCCCTCACCGCCTCGGTCTCCTGGCTGCGCTGCAGCAGGTCGCGGTTGTGCGCCCTGAGTTCGTCCCGCTGTCGGTCAGTCACCTCCTTGAGCTGCCGCAGCAGTGCGCGCTCCTCTGAGGAAGGGGCGTTCTTAGCGGCGGCCCGCGGGAAGGTAGGCCCTGGGTCGGCCCCAGCCCGCCTGCATCCTGGCCAGAGCCTGCACTCACCCTGTGGTCCAAAGCGCAGCTCCCTGCGGAGGTGCTCGTTCTCCTCCCGCAGCCGCCGCAACTCCAGTTCAGCCTGCTGCGCCGCCACCTGCAGCTGGGGAGGCCTGGGCCTCAGGGTTAGGCCCCGCCGGCCCCGAGGGTGGTCAGGGGAGGGGACAGTGACTCACCGAATCCGGGGCGGGCCCCACGGCGGCCTTTTCCAGGAGCTCCAGCGCCCGCACCACGAGAGGCACTAGCCCGGCCGCCGCCTCCGGCCCGAAACGGCGCGCCAGCTCTTGCAACTCAGTGCCCAGGGCTCCCGCTAGATGGTACACGAGCTCCGCGGCCGTCCCCGACCCCGCAGCCACTCGAGGCCCCCAACCATGTGCCCCAGGTGTCGCCCCCCTGGGTTCCATGTCCGCTACAAGGCCTAGGGCTACAATCCCCCCACCCTCAAGTGGGGCAGGAAAAAGCTAAACAGTTCCGGCGCAGGAAGCAGTTTAGGGCAATAAGGGGCGGGGAAGAGGCCATGAGGGAGGAGCATAAGGGAAAAGGCCTGGGGAAAGGAGACAGTGCCCCACGTCCCCTGGGCCCTGTCCCTTTCAACCCCAAGGTCACAGGAAACAGGACAGTCAACTTCCAACCAGATAAGCCAAGAGCTGAGGCTCAGAGCTCTAAGTGGTCACTTTAGTCAAGCCCTCCCCACTGCAGCCAGTCACCAGCCTCAGTTTGACAGTCCTCTGTCAGACAACCAACTGTGCGCCCTGTCCACTGTGTGCTTGTTTCCCGGACCAGGAGTGACACCGAAAGCTTTAAAAAAAAAAAAAAAAGGGCCGGCCCGGTGGTGCACTGCTACAGTGCGCCGCTTGGGAGTGCGGCGGCACGCTCCCGCCAGGGTTCGGATCCCGCATACAGACCGGTTCCCGCTCACTGGCTGAGCAAGGTGCGGGCGCAACACCGAGGGTTGCGATCCCGTTGCTGGTCCCGGTCCGGTACGGGCGCAACACTGAGGGTTGCGATCCGTTGCCGGACACGAAAAAAGAGACAAAAAGAAAAAAAAAAAAAAAGGGCCGGCCCGGTGGTGCGCTGCTACAGTGCGCCGCTTGGGAGTGCGGCGGCACGCTCCCGCCAGGGTTCGGATCCCGCATACAGACCGGTTCCCGCTCACTGGCTGAGCAAGGTGCGGGCGCAACACCGAGGGTTGCGATCCCGTTGCTGGTCCCGGTCCGGTACGGGCGCAACACTGAGGGTTGCGATCCGTTGCCGGACACGAAAAAAGAGACAAAAAGAAAAAAAAAAAAAAAAAAAAAAAAAAAAAAAAAAAAAAAAAAAACTAGGCTGGGCATCACAGCTGCAGAGCACAAGCCACAGAGCTCCTAGACCCACAAAATGGCAGCAACTACTTCAAGAGATGCTGAAAAATGGTGATGGTTTCCAAGTATTTCAGAGGGAAACCAGCAAATAAAGGAAGTACAAGTATGAATGCCCAACCCCACCTTAGTTTCCTGAGTCTAGAGGATATACAGCTGCAAAAACAGGGAGGGGATCTCCTACCTCCCTCAAGGCTAAGCCCAGCACCTTGCTCCAGCCCAGCCTCCTGCCATACCTATGCCCAGAATTTGAGCTCAGGAAAAAAACAACCCCAAACTCCTCTTTATACAAAATTTATTATATTTTGTTCAGAATTACAAGTCATCAGGAGGTCAACAACACAACAAGCACAAATAGAGGGAAAAGGGGCCAAGCTGCTGAATGTCACCAGCTTGTCTGCAGGGGCTAAGGGGAGTCTGAAGCAGGAGGAGGTGAGGAACCAACTAGGCATAGAGGTCCTCACGGTCTGCAGAGTAGACCTCGCCCTCCTGCAGGAGGGCAAAGTTGAGGAAGTGGGAGGGTCTGTGCACCTCGTGGTAGAACTCTTTGGGGTTTGCCAGCTGTAGCTCATACTTCATATTGGGATCATGCCGGACACCTTATGGAAGAAGGAAACATCAGTGTTTAGAAGGGTCCACCTGCTTCAGGCAGCATGGGTCCCTGGGTCATCTCCAAGCTAGAGGCAGGCCACAAATGCCAAGGGCAATGGCTTAACCTTACCCCCACAGTGTGCTGGCCCCACTTCCCTGTGCTCCCGCAACTTACACACACACACAGCCACTTACCCATAAAGTTGTAGTTCCATGAGGACTGGGCAGGGACCATAAAGAAACCAAGGAAGCGGTCGGACAGCAGCATCTGGACTCGCTCATAGTGGGAGGGTAGGTAGCCCTTGGGGTTGTTGCCCTTATCTGTGTTCTGCCGGCCCCATTCATAGCCACTGGGGGTCAGCTTATAGGCCGTCAGCGTGCAGGAGCCTGGTGTGAAGCTGGGAAAGGATGGTGACCGAGTGAGAGCTCAGGCCACCATTCTGGGCCATGGCCTGCAATGTCTACCACACCATACTTCCTCCCAAAAGGGCCCAAGCCCACCTGCAGGTGATGATGATGGTCTTCTCGCCATCCCAAGATGGGTTGTCAGCCATGATCTTGGCATGAGTGGTGACATCCTGGGGTGATAGCTGAGGGGACTCATTGGGCTGAGTGTGGATCCAACCTAAGGGCTCCATCTCCTATAGGCAAAAAGCAGTAAAGAGCTGTTCAGAATCCCATCTGCAGACAGGAATCCTACACCAGAGGAAACTGCCTGCCTTCTCTCCACCTCTCTGAGAGCAGAAAGCCCCAGTTCTCCCACACTGCCAAGCTCTGTCACCACCACTTACCTTGAGGTACTCATGCTGGGGCAGCTGGCCAGGCAGGTGCACAGTCTGGTGAGTGCCCCACTGTGGTACCATCACGATGCAGCGGATCTCCTTCACCTGGGGGTTATCTGGCGGGCTAACCCCATACAGGTATCCTGCAATCTGGAGACAAGGGGGTCAGAAACCAAAACTATTCTTAGTACCAGCCCAGACTCTGGGCTGTCAGCCATGGGTTTCTTTCTTTTCCCCAAGAACAAGGACAGAGTTTCTCAAAATGTCATCAAGAGTGTCATAACACCAAGGTCAAAGGTTCAGATCCTCATACTAGCCAGCCAGCAACAAAACAAAACAAAAATGCTGTCAGAACCCCCTACATCAGAATCACCTGGGTGCTTGTTCAAAATGTTAAACATGGACCTTATCCCACACTTACCACACCAAAATCTCCTGAGTGGGGTCTAGGAATCTACACTGCTCACAGCTCCCCAGTTTGATTATTAAGTATATTATCCATAAACAAAGGAGCATACAAGTATACAGCTCACTACATTTTCACAAGCTGAACACATCTAAAAAACCAGCACTAGGTGGTATTTTAAATTTAACACTGCCATCAACAATGAGGACCTGTTCCCTATAAACTCATGCACACAGGGTATCAATCTTTTCAAATTTGCCAACTTGATGACCACAAAACAGTGTGTAATAAAACAGGAATATCCCTGATTTCTAGTAAAGTTGAGCATCTTTTCATGCTATGTTTTCTTTTCATGTTCTTTTTCTGAACTACCTTTTCATATTCTTTAGTTTTCTAGTTATCTTTTTTAAATCAACATCTGAGAATTCCCTATTCTAGATGCTAATCCATTATCTTAGATTAATACATATATTTTCTTCCTGTTTTAGTTTCTTTTGTAGTACACTTTGTCACACATAAGTTACTTTTTTTTTTTTTTAAAAGATGACCAGTAAGGGGATCTTAACCCTTGACTTGGTGTTGTCAGCACCATGCAATATAGGGATCCAAACCCGTGGCCTTGATGTTATCAGCACCACACTCTCCCGAGTGAGCCACGGGCCGGCCCCCAATACTACATTCTCTTAATTGTCATAGCTTTATAGTATGTTTTGATATCACGTGGGGGCCAAAACCTTACTTGATGTTTTGGCTATCCTTGTATATTTATTTGTCCATGAATCTTGAAACCAGCATCCCAAGTTCCATGAAATCTCGGGTGTGTTTTAGGCACACAATACATTGGGTGCACACTGTGGCCTAGTTGAGCACACTTACTCACTTGGGCCCGAAGGTCAGATATGCAGATGAACTTCTTAAGCACATTCTTGGGAAGGATATAGGTGTAACCAGTTTCCTTGATGTCATCTGATGAAACATAGATGTGATTCGTCCTTAGGTGCAGGTTGGCAGCAGAGATGGCCCTAAAATCAGGTAAGGATTGTCAGCATCTCTCAGCCCAAGCACCTTAGGTAGCACCAGTTGGCCCTCCCATTCTTACCCTCTTGCCCTTTACAGTACCTGACCCTCCATTCAGTCTTTGATGAGAAAGTCTGAGTCTCGTAGTTGCTAGTGGTAGAGGTGATAATTTCATCACCATGTTTGTTGACAGTGCGAGTCTGTGTTGCAGTCAGCTGTGACTGTTCCTTGGTCTGCTTCTCAATCTCAGCTATCTGCTGCCGTTGCTGCGATGGTGCTGAGATCTCCATACCCAGAATGATGTCTCGAATTTCTGATTGTGTCAGTGATGCCACATTCACACTGTGGGGACAGTGTGGGTTAAACAACAAGGATCCCTTCCTCTTGGTCATTTCTGCCTCCATGGCAAGGGTACAACTTGGTAGGACAGGCAGCCCATCCCATCACCCCAGACAATCCTCAAGTGACACTTCTAAAGGAAGTACGAAGTGGAGATGCACTAATACTTCTAAGATTCATCACATCTCAAGCAGGATGGCACTCTGCATGTACACCTTTTAGCTATTGAGCAGCCACAGCTCCCACTTTTCCTAGACAAAAAGTGCCCTGGCACAGGACAATTCTCAAAAATGAAAACTCTAGAACATTGGTTCACAATCAGAGGTGGTATTCTCAGTCACCCTAGGGGGATATGAAAATCTTGGTACATTTTTGTTTGCCACAATGACAAAGAAGGAGAGGAGGGGAAAAAAGGGTGTGTGTGTGTGCTATTAGCAGTGGTATTTGGGGTCTAGGATGTTAAAACTTCCTGTTATGTATGGACAGAAAAGGAAATGCCCTGGGGCTGGCCAGTTAGCTCAGTTGGTTAGAGCATGCTGCTATAACACCAAGGTCTGGGGTTTAATCCATGTACTGGCAAGCCACAAAAAAAAAAAAAAAAAAAAAAGCCCTGCTCAAAATGGCAACAGTGCCTCCACTGAGAAACTGTCAAGGTGAAGCACTGAAATATGGATACTTCCTATATAACACTGCCTACCTCTCTTCTGTAGAAATCTCTAAGACAATTTCTTAAGAAACTTATGAGTCTAAATGTTTTAAAACCCCAGCAACCATATACTGAGCCACCCCATCTGCCTCCCCACCACCACTGCTCACTTGTTTTTCTTGCCGTAGTCAGCCAAGATAAGATCCTTGAGCTGCACCTCCACCTTGATCCACTCCTCATCAGTCAGAGTGGGCCAGATGTGGTG